TATATATATATATATGTTCAACAAATTGGGCCCCGAGGTCAAAATGTTTAAGAACCCCTGCCTTAAAGGATATCACCTGCTGCCTTTCATGCCAGACCTTTACATTAACACTGTCTTATGTTGAGAAGTAATGGAGTTGCAGCCATTTTGGTCAAACCTTTAAAATAGTGTGTTTATTGTCACACTCAGAGCTCAAACTGTGAATGACTCCCAGCTACTACCACACCTAATTCTATCTCGGTATAAATAAAACTGAGCAAAAACTGTTAGTGTTTGCTAAAATCAATAGGCTGTGGTAGCCTTAAATTAAGGTGACTCAAAAAGTGAATCAGTTGTAGATCTACATCCAGTAATTTATTTCTGAAAGTTGCATTAAAATATATCAAGTGGTTCAAATAATATTTTGCTAACAGACAAACATTGTTGATCAAAACAGTTAATGCTGAAGTTTTAAGCAAAGATGTGTAAAACGTAGCACATAGATCTTTTGTAAATGACTCTCAGCTAAAAATCACACTATGTTATCTGCAAATATCTGTAATATTGGCTAAATGAAAGACATTTTTGTGGTTTTGAAGGTCAGTTAGCTGTGGCGGCCATCTTGAATGAGGTTGGCACCAAAAATTGATCAGTTATAGAAGTGCATCCATCGAATACTTTCTGAAAGTTTCATTAAAATCCGTAAAAATATTTTGCTAACAGACAGACAAATATTTCCTGTTTCCTGATCAGTGTCAGCTACTAACACACCAACATTTATATCAATAAATGTAAAATGAACTGTTTGGTTGATGTGTGTGTGTTTGTGTGTGTGTGTGTGTGTGTGTGTGTGTGTGTGTGTGTTGTGTGGTAGGAGCGGTGGGTTTGGGGGCAAAGTGTAGATGAAGCCCGACAGAAAGCTGCTGTGAAATATGGAGTAAAGCCAGAAGACATTACTTTGAAACAAGGTAAATTACTCCCTCTTGACCTTGAGCCTAGTTTTAATTTTTGTTAAAGAAATCACGTTCACACAAACCCAGTGTGGTCATTTCTGTCAATATGTTGTGATTTGCTCCAGGTCAGACTTGTACTGCCACATTTCTTTTTACTCACTTCTGCCCATGTTGCACACAGCTACCCATCATCATTGGTGGTAAAAGAACAACTACTGGGTACAAAATTGTAAAAATGAAAGAAAATACAACTTCTGGTTACAAAATAGTAATCAATGCATGAAATGACAACCACTGCATTCAAAATAGCATTCACTATATAAAATAACTACTACTGAACATAAAATGGTAATCACTGTTACGAAATGACAACTGCTGTATACAAAATGGTAATCATGAAACAAAATGTCAACCATTGGGTATAACATAGAAATTAATATATGAATTAAATTGTTTACTATTGAGTGACTATGAAATTATAGTCACTGGGGGTCGCAAATAACAACTGATGGGTACAAAATGGTAAATACAGAAGATAAGATAAGATGAGGTAAGATAAGATAAGATAAGATGAGATGAGAAGATAAGATAAGATAAGATAAGATAAG